TCTTCGTAAAAAGCTTGTAAAGCACGCTCAGCAGGCATATTGGACGGTAGTTCCGAAGATCCTCGCTATCTCCCTCTTATGAAGAAGGATTGTCCGAGAGGTCCTCCACTAGGCGCGGATCCTTTCCTATTGAAGGGACGTTAGATGTTCCGCAAGTATCTCGTGTAGGCGATGTCCTCCGGCTCGTAAGAGATCGGCCGAAACGTGGTCCGGTCCCGGCGTCGTTTGCCTCCATGAAATTGCGGCGCGCACTTCGGCAGATAGAATCCGTAGCGTGGTAATTCTCCAGCGAGTAACGGGGCTTGACACGGGTGTTGACGAGCGAAAGCGATTGACATGAAATCTCTTCGTGATCGAATCCATCTTTTGTCGGGAAGATATGCGAGTCTCGTCTTCGTTTAGTAATGTTGTCAACGGAACACGGTAGTCGAGAAGATAGAACTTTTAGAAGCAGCATAAGTTTAACGAAGTCCCTTCGGCACCTCATTAAACTTATGCCGCTTCTAAAAGTTTCCATTGCCCGTATTTTCGAAGATTTCGTCCTGTTTTGCAACTGGTATTGGCTACCCCAATGCTCTCCTTTCGTCTAGCAGATCCTTGGTAGCTGGAAATTCGTTCCAAGTTCCTTGTTCGCGGTACTGAGACACTTTCAGCACAGCCCAGTCTTCTGAAAAGCAGGTCGTAGTGCTTCGTGGGGTTTTTCTCAGTGGGTCAGTCACAAGTGGTTAGGAGCTCCTTCAATCTGACGCCGATAAGACTTCTCTCCTCCCTCTAACATGTTGACAGATCTTCTTTCCCAGCTTTCGGCTAAATAGCACTTTTGCTCAAAGAAGGTCGTACCGTTGGGTAACTCCCATGTCCACCGCCGATGTTCTTTTTTCATAAGATGGAGTTGCCATGGAAAAATCGTGCGGCAGATGAGACAAACAAGACGGTTAACGCTCTCATTCTGGAGTCCTGATCCAAATCTCCCGACCCTATTCTCTCCTTCTTCTGACATCTCGATTTTCGCATTGAGTCACCCACGACAAATTCATAGTAGATTTCTTTGCGGATGACTTTCTCCGAATTCTCATAGAATGCATCAAGTTCGAGAATAGCATTAAATGATGGTGAGGCTTTTCGAATGCGGAGGACGGAGTAAAAGGATAGCCAGGCGAGGTAATAGGATCTCATGCGAATCGACACGATGGACGAGAAATGGGTGTACGACAAATCCAACGCCTTTAACGTTCCGTGATGGAACCTTTTCATCACGAATGATGTGTACCATCACTCAACTGCCTAACGTCCGTCTTCTTGGAGTTTGTTTCCTGCAAGACGATAGACCATCACGGGGGAAACAAAGAGTAAGCTTTCACCACAGGCGACCTGACCCATGTGGATCAGGGACCACCCATCAACTTAATCAGTCAGAAGGTGGCGCTTTGGCATGGCCTACTCTTAGCTCCAGGGAGCTAGAAACGTCGAGCTCCTTCTCAGCTTGGGAGATCCTGCTGGAAGATAAACCTTTGCTTACTTCGTAGTTCAACACCAGAGTCACCTCCACCTCA